TTACGGGATTGCCATAAACGGGTCCTACAACAAAGGTGCAATTGGGGGCTTTGAATTCCGGGTCATATCACTCTTCCCGTCTCTAACCAACGGCAAACCGCTGGGTCGAACCAGGATGGTGAGCAGCATGGCTTACTTTTTCACATCCCAATACGAACTCGCGGTCTTATCCGCGCATCACTTTAACACCACTGATGGCACTGGGTATATCTTGCAATAGTTCATTTTGTAGGACATGTATGAAGCGACTTGTGTGACACAGCGCGACAACTTTACATTTCGTAATATTGTAAACCATCGGGAAGCCATGCGAATTATTCCTCTCCGTGTTAAACCTATTCAGAACATAGGCCGAAATATTTAAAACGTCATAATGATGAAAAATATTACAGGCCTATGTCAAACTGCTTGACTACTCAAATTTGTACTTCAGGTAAATTTTTCCCAATGTCCGAGCAAAGAAAGGTGACTTTCTGACAAGCTTCTTCACAGCGTCCGTGATTAAGAGCAAAACAAATTGAAGAATAGAAATAAGGACGCCTCAAATGGTATTGATTGATCCAACCACTTTGATGAGCCTTTGGCTTAAGCAGCTCGTATGTTTGTAATTGGCCGGGTCATCTGCGTTAGTCATATTAATCTTTGTTTTGAAATTCTATGGCTTTTACCTCGAACCACGTGACCATTGCAAAATGCACCATATGTCAGTGCTGTTAATATCATATGGAGTATGAAGTCCGACTGTTCTGTACGAAGTTTTTTGGGTGTTGGCTTAGAATCTGCGGTGCACATTATTCAGCGTAGTGTGCAACTTTGAATAGAGATTCCAGTCTAACTGGCTTTTTTTCCACACGTCTGTGTCCTGGCCGTGTTCCAAATAAATCAAGGTACAAAAATCTTCATGAAAAGAAAAAAGTGATCACGATTAGCTCGAGGACGCAATAATGCTTGGTTGCTCAGACCAAAGCAGTTTAATTATCTTAGGGAATTAACATCTGGAGCTTTCAGGCTGCCAAAGACTGACCCACGTGGCAGCGGGGCGGGGTGTGAAAACCACAATCTTTTGGGAGCTTCATCAGATGATTCACCTTTCGGACGAGGTCAAACCTCCAAGATGTTGGTGGCAACAGCCACGAAGGTGCGTGTGATTCGTGCACCTTTTCGTGATTTCTTTAGAATCAGGGTTTTTAGCCAACTTCTTTAGGTGAACTGCCAGTGGTTCACGTTCAATCGCCAGGCAAGGCAACATCTTTAGCGACAACTTCACAAGCACTGAATACGTAACCTCGGCTGGTGGTGAAACGATTGCAAACAAATTGGCACGCTCGATGGACAGGAGAAAATGAATTCAGTTCACCCGAGCAACGCGAAACCCATTCTCAATAATTTGTCAATAGCTAACTATATGTAAAATGTATCCACTTCGAGCCCCGTGACAACCAAATCACTTTTCTACAGTTTATCATACCAATGTGTGTAGTAAACAGCTCATCATTCGTCTCGGCGTAAATTGTACTCAGGAGTGACTTTATCTGTAGCGGCGCGGATGGTGATGATGTGCAAGCGGTCTAAGTCATTGTCCCTCGCGTCATGTGGGCCCTAGGATTGGAGTTTCTAATGGTATCGCAGCCAACTAACATTGGTCGTTGGCATCGTCGACTCAATACCACACCTGTCCTCGTACGGCCTTGGGCGGTTCGCCATTTCACCGGTTATCACGCTTGCACAGTATATATGAGTATACATGAGTATTCGGTTTACCTGTTCTGTCCTTGCATTACACAATGATGTGCATGTGATAAGAAAGATTCCAACAGCCCGTTCCATTTGATTGTCCATGTACGACCTTCGTAACCTCGTAGACTTCCTCTTGGTTGTGTGTATTCAGATCTCACCAAGCTAGTGTTTATCTATATACGTATTGTAAATAAGAAAGCCAGTTAACATTGATTAACCACTATGAAACCAGAATGGAAAACTCCTATCCTTATTGTCAATCTCTGTCTGTTTTCCAGACGACAGATGTTGAAATCTCTACTATTCTCCACACAACCTACCCAAATCGTCACTCCACTTATTCATTCATCTGTTTCAGCGGTCGAGCGCCATATCACGTGGCCGTGCAAAGGTTTGAAAACCAATCCATCGGTGCCACCTATTTCATGACGTATCACACGGTGCTACAAACCCCGGGTGATTTTATCGGTGCACTACGTGGAGCTCGGGACCTGGCGGATCAAGTGAACGAATACTGGCATGGAAACCAGTCTGACTGGGATTCTAACACCATTCTCGCTCCGAATTCCGTTTACCCATACAGGTTTGTGATTCCGTTATCTAAATGAAATGATCTTCTTATGCGTTTTAGTTCGATGTGATCAATGCGCAGTCACCTGATTGGCAGTCATGTATGCACTCTTTTCTAATATTATGGTATTTCCTGTGTACATTCCATTTACTGTTTCCTCTTGATATTGACCTAGTGATGAGGGGCCTGAATGTCTAGGTTCACGTTTTCATTCAGTGTCCCTGTGGTTCTTTGGAACACTCCGGGGATTTTCTCTATCCCTACCGCGTCCTGTTGTTTGGCGAACCAAACAAGAACCGATTTTGGATATGGTTTGTTTGTATGCGATAAAAATCTGAATTTTAAAGACTGAAAGTTAGGTTAGCCTAGTCCCACTGATTTGTACCATTTTCGATAGATTGTTTGATTGACGAACTCGTTTATTCAGAAGTGAGCAGCTATTTGAATAGGCATAGGCATTATTATTGGTCGACACCATCTTCAAGAAGAGAAATGGATTATCGCGACTAATAGAATGAATTGTTTAGTTCCTTTAATATGCCGACTGCCATTTAGGTTATATTCTACCAAGAAAAGGAGTAAATCCATGAGAACTATGCCATTTGCGGACTTACTTGATCGAGGTATTTTTTTATCAATCTTATATCCATCCTTTGTCAATTTGCACAAACCCCATGTACCTTCGACGTGTTCTATGTTCGAACTCCTTTTTCTCCCAAGTCCCAACCGAAACGTGATCACTCTCATATCAACCATAAAGAAGTTAATGGTCAAAAAAACCTATGAATCCAAACAGAAGCAAACTTTCTTCCTCGATTTCAAGGGCAGTATCCAATGGACATTTTTGCTCGCAGACAGTCCTTTTTCGTGCCTCGAGAAGATAATTGTTTCCGTTTATAAACGGTGCTACAACACACCAGCTAAGCGCTCCAACAAGCAATCTAAATGTGTCGCACGTTGATTTCCAGTCAACTAAGGTTACGGAGAAATTGATTAAATGTACGAACGCCATTGTTTATGACACTCAGCCACCTCACTGAGTGTCTCTAACCACCAGTTCCGATCATCTCACGGTCCCAGCTGAGGAGAAAACCTGTGGTTATTAGCAACAGACCTAACTCGATCCAATGTGATCAGCTTGTGTTTCGAAATGAGGATCATCATCCTCATCATCGGTCATTGATTTGCAGGCCTGGATTGATCAGACAGTTGGGGTGATGGTGGCGCAATGGCTTAGTCGCTGTCACAGGCGTACTTTGAGCTCTATAGTGCGAAGTTCGAGTTCCGCCACCTCTACCCAACTTTGGTTGTAGATAGCTCTGCTCTCGTCCGGTTCACTACCACGCCTATCCTATCCGGGCCTTATTTGGTTCACCATTCGAACTCCCGAGGCTTAGATTACCGGTTTTCCATGATGGAGCAACAGGTCTTTGTGACTGTGGAGCTCTCTCCGTCTACTGTTCATCACATTTAGGTGTGTAATAAAACAAAAGTTATCAGTCGGCTTGGCAGTGTGTCGCTCACATACCCACTATGAACCTTCCTTTCTAGTCACAATGCTTGTTAATTGGTATGTGTGACCAACTTACTGTACACGACAGCAATCATCTAATCTCTGTTGGTCGATGTGATAATCTGAATACTGTGATGTCTTGGTATCATCATCATCATTATCATTCTCCCCCTGTCCCCTTACTCCACACACACATACCGGCAGTGTGTTCTACGTGTACTATGAGCAATATTTGACTGTCGTTCGCGAGGCTCTGATTCAAATCGGGATCTGTTTGGCAGCCATCATTCTGGTCACATTTATCCTGCTTGGACTGAACCCAGTCGCCACCCTGATGGTTTTGTTCGGTGTGATTTACATTCTGCTCAGTCTGGTCGCACTAATGGCTCTGTGGGATATCAGTCTAAACGCGATATCCCTGGTCAATTTGGTCGTGGTAAGTGAATTGACCTGGCACACAATAATGCCTGTCCTTTGGTATGTGTTTTATCCGCTCCTCCATCGTAAAAAGGCGGATTGCAAATGACCACGAACTATCGTGTCATCTCTGTGGTTGTAACAGGTTCAATATGTTTCCAACGGGGTTACCATTCTTGAGACTAGTGTTAAAACGCTCCGACTCAAATGGGTTCTCTCCAGCAGCTTGAAAAGACTGAGCTTCTGTGTTGATCTTGGCGTTAACGAGCCCCCTGAGGTTCCGTGTGGAAACGGGAACAGGTTCCGCCTGAGTAGTGTGAGTCGATCGTTTTACCGGTTGACAATAGATTCTCCTGTGGAAACCATAGTAGAATTAGTTTATGTACACAAATTCTGNCAAATTCTGACGGTGAAGATAAATCGACATGCAATGGACGAAGATTGCTGTCTAGAAGCTTATTGGCGAAGGTAATACAAGAGTTGATGTAACTTCTAATAAGATTGGTTGTTATTAAAATAACTGAACTAAATGGCTCGTGACCAATAATCAACAAAGCAAATGACAAATGGTTTTCAAATCTGGAATTACGAGGTCGAAAAACGTTACAGGGGAGCAGTGGAGTAAAGTTGTTGAACGAAAGAGGTTCCGAAATGCCCGATTTGCCGTAGCAGAAAGCAGAGGCGTTTCAGTTTCCCCATAACAACTTTAGCTGTGGCTGAACCACTGGAGATGACCGTCCATGATGACACCCGGGTAATTGTCAGAGGACATTCTAAACGCACGGTTACACACTTTTAAGGGTAGCAGATTCCTTTGGAAATGAAGCGCGGTAAAAGCTGAAGATGCACTGTAAGCACTTGGATGAGTTAAGGCTAAAACCAAGTTGGTTGGAAAACTGATGGAATCGGGATATGTTTTCAGTGAAGTAATTAAATTCCAAAGATAATGAAATTTTCTGCATACTTTGGAATAGCCTTCGTAGTTAACTTTAAAGCTGCGGGTTCAGAACGATAGAATTAAAGTATTTCACAAGAACGGTTGACAATGAAGCCTTTAGGATGGGAATTTTGGCGACGTGACTTCAGGAATCATTAACCAACGGGGGAAATTCGTCAATGAGGGATGTTATCACATTGGCTAGAGAAGCGCCGGAGAGAGATCATCAGGGCCTGCACATTCGAGGATGCTTCGGAGAAGCCTAAAGATTTCCTCATTGGAAAATGTCACCTGATAGGAGTTATTGCACGAAAAGTAAGTAATCTGGCTTTCATTTG